CCCAATTTGGAATTGTTGGAGGAGGTGTGGCAAGGGCTCCTGACATTAAGTCTGTCTGAGTTGCTGGTGTTATGCTGCACGCAAAAAGCAGGATTATCCCGAAAGTGATGCTGATGGAGGATCGCTTCCTGTAGTTGGTGCTGAATCCGTTGGTGCTGGATCTGCTGCTGGTTGAGCTGGGAGGGAAGCTTCTTGGTGGATCCTTACTAGTCTGGGCGGTATCCATCTTGGACCTGCTCCTGTGGAAACACAAGCATGTCCTCTCCCCCAAACAATTAAAGGGACAGGACCAAGCCATTCTCCTGTCAGGATATCCTTGTATTTTACCTTAGCTTCCCCCGTTTTTAATTTTCCAGCTCCAAAATGATGTCCAACAGGCGAAACATCTTCATGCAGCTTATTTAAAAAATTGAGGACATACAATGCCTTGTGTAAACATTCTGATGGAGAAAGACCTACAGCTGTTTTTTATTGTTCTTTTCAGCATATCTTTTAAAGATTTGTGAGTTCTCTCTACTATTGCTTGGCCCCGTGCAGAGTGAGGAATGCCTCAGTTTCCCCCATTTTTTTCACATTTTCACAGACTTCCCCCATTTTCCCGATTTTTTTTCCAGATTTTTCCCACATTTTCCCAAATTTTTCCTTATTTCCCCCATTTTTTCCCAGATTTTTTCACGATTTCCCCCCATTTTTCCCACATTTTCCCCCATTTTTCCCAGATTGTCCCAGAATATTCCCCGTTTTTTCCCCATTTTCCGGGCATTTTCCCCCCATTTTTTCCCTATTTTCCCAGATTTTTCCCATTTTTCCCCATTTTTTCCAGATTTTTCCTCGTTTTTTCCACATTTTCCCCAGATTTTCCATTTTCCCCAGAATTTCCCAGATTTTTTCCAGATTTTTCCCCATTTTCCCTGGGTTTTTTACCGCTTTTTCCACATTTTCCCGGATTTTTTCCCTATTTCCCCCATTTCCCCTGATTTTTCCTGCATTTTCCCCACATTTTCCCAGATTTCCTCCCATTTTCCCCCATTTTCCCACATTTTTTCCCCCATTTTCCCACATTTTTCCCCATTTTCCCACATTTTCCATACATTTTTTCCACATTTTCCTGGATTTTTCCAATTTTTCTCCATTTTCCTGGATTTCCCCCCAACTTTTTCCCAGATTTTTCCCCCATTTTCCCCCATTTTTTCCACATTTTCCCAGAATTTTTTCCATTTTTTCCCCATTCCCCCCATTTTTCGCAGAATTTCCCGCATTTTAGCCCATTCCCCCCTTTTCCCAGATTTTTTCCCTTTTTCCCCATTTTTCGTGATTTTCCCCACATTTTCCCACATTTTCTCAGATTTTTCCTCCTTTTTCCCAGAATTTCCCCATTTTCCTGGAGTTTGCCCCATTTTCCTGGATTTTTCCCATTTTTCCACATTTTCCCAGATTTTTCTCCCGATTTTCCCAGATTTTCCCCACATTTTTCCCCCTTTTTTCCCCATTTTTCCCCATATTCCCGCATTTTCCCCTCATTTTTCTCCATTTTCCCATATTTCCCCCCATTTCCCCCCCATTTTTTCCACATTTTCCCTCATTTTTTCCCTGATTTTCCCGGATTTCCTTATTTTTTCCCCATTTTCCTGGAGTTTTCCCAATATTTCCCCATTTTCCCGGATATTTTCCCTTTTTTCCCCTTTTATTCCCACTTTTCCAACAGCCTCTCCTGTGCCTGTATTTCCACCTGTTAATTCAGGGCATTCTGGCTTCCAGTGTCCCTCCTTTCTGCAATACGCACACTGGTTCTACACAGCCTTGTCTGTAGGGGAGGCAAACCTTACATCTGTTACACAAGGCTCATACATATAACTAGCAATCGCAAAACTGACAAATCTTAATTCTAGGTCTTATCCAAAGTGATGTGATTATAGTTAACTCTTCAGCACTACCTCTCATATAGCAACTCTTAGCATGATAATACCTTTAACTATGTGCTCCTGGTTGTTTCAAGGTAAGCAAGATATATCAGGTACACAATAACAATACTTGGCCAAATACAAACAAGACTAGACCAGACCAGAGGGGATATTCCCCTGGGAGAGCGTCCTCTCCCGTGTCCCCTGCGAGACGGCGTCCCGCCTCGACTTACAGGTATCCAGAAACCAGATACAAATACCTTTTATCAATAGGCAGTGTTCTTGTCCAGCCCCCGCAAGAAGCCACCGAAGAAGGGAGCCCCTTCGGGTAAAAAGACTTACCCGAGGGCGCCCAAGGGGGTCCCGTCCTCCGGGGGATTCCGCAGCCGGGTGGAGAAGGTGTGCTGCCGCAGGTCGCCAAATGAATCCGAAAAATCGGTCTGACAAACTGCTCAGAGACTTTTCATCTTTAAGCAGCAAGGTATTTGTTTATTCAACGTTGGGAGCAAGCCAGCTCGCGCTGGACAAACTTGCTCACCGGCTCCTCAGAAAACCAGCACTTTTATCCAATTTTCAGATGTGATTAAACGCATATTCAAACGATTACAACATCTATCAATACATATTAAAAATAGGCGGAGTATAGGCGGAGCTCAGGGCGGTGCTTCTCTTGACACCCCGTTTCGAGGGGTAGTTCCGATCTTCATCCATAGGGCAGGGGGCTCTAACTCATCTTCCTCATCTTGACCCTTCTTCCTTTCCATTGTTCTTGACCCGCTCACTGAAGCTTGGAAAAGGCCCTGGCTCCAGGCCTATTTCTCCTATTCAAATGTCTACCTGATCCTGTTATACTTCTAATTTATTGCTTCTAAGTCTATTACATGTTCTTGTACTATTCTCTTAAGCTTTTGGTCCAGTAAGTAGAACAGAACGGGGACAGATCGTTTTGAATATTGGTAACTTGTTTGCAGGCCCAAATCAACTTGTTTGCAGGCCCAAATCTCTTAGTTAACTCTTTGGGCCTAGCCCCCTATATCATCAGCACTCCATGCGAATGTCTGTGCACTCACTTTGGCCTGAGAGAAACCTGCCTGTTTGCAGGGCACTGACTGGGCAACTTTTCTTTTTGCAGGTGGAAAAGGGCAGATAACCAAAACACAGATGGGTCCAGCAGAAGGGATGCTGCTTCTGTCAAAAGCAGAGCAGAGGCCGAAAGCACTTTAGGAAGTTGCTTGCAGAAGCACTGTGCATTCCAAGTTACAGCTCAGGAGTCTCAGTGACTTGTCCAACATGAGAGCTCCTTTTCCGTTTCTCAACCCCCAGATTCCTCAGGAGTAGGAAATTCAAAACACTGTCTCAGAAAAGCTCCTTTCCTTCCTAATAATTGTGCTTTGCCCTTCCCATTTTACAGTGCTCTTGGAAATGTGCTGGTGCGATCTGGATCTGCGAGCAGCCCTGACCTCACACAGCACTCATGCAATGGCAGGAAGACCCTGCCTGGCTCCTGCTGGGGTTCTCGCCACCACCGCCCCAGTATGGGTCACTGGAATGGGGAGCTGGGCAGTGGGACCAGTAAGGACCACTTAAGGGGGTTGGGGGCACTTCAGTATCTCCATCAAGGTCAGACCAGTATAGACCATTATAAACCAATATAGACCAGTACAGACCAGTATAAACCAGGATAGACCAGTATAAACCAGTATGGACCAGTATAGACCAGTATAGGCCAGTATAAAGCAGTAGAAACCAGTACAGGTCACTGGAATGGGGAACGGGATGGTGGGACCAGTACGGACCAGTTAAGAGGGTTGGGGGCACTTCAGCATCTCCGTCAAGGTCAGAACAGTACAGACCAGTACGGACCAGTACAGACTGGTATAGACCAGTAGAAACCAGTACGGGTCATTGGAATGGGGAATGGGGCAGTGGGACTAGTAAGGACCAGTTAAGGGGGTTGGGGGCACTTCAGCATCTCCGTCAAGGTCAGACCAGGATAGACCAGTATAAACCAGTATAGACCAGTATAGACTAGTATGGACCAGTATGGACCAGTATAAACCGGTATGGACCAGTACAGACCAGTAGAAAGCAATATGGACAGGTATGGTCCAGTATAGGCCAGTATGGGTTTTTGGAATTGGGAATGGGGTGGTGGGACCAGTAAGGACCAGTTAAGCGGGTTGGGGACACCTCCATCAAGGTCATACTAGTATATACCAGTATAAACTAGTGTAGACCAGTATGGACTGGTATGGGCCAGTATAGATCAGTATAAACCAGTACAGACCAGTACGGGTCGTTGGAATGGGGAATGGGGCGGTGGGACCAGTAAGGACCAGTTAAGGGGGTTGGGGACACTTCATCATCTCCGTCAAGGTCAGACCAGTACAGACCAGGATAGACCAGTATAAACCAGGATAGACCAGTATAAACCAGTATAAACCAGTGCGGGTCACTGCAACGCGGAATGGGGTGGTGGGACCAGTAAGGACCAGTTAAGGCAGAACTCAGATGGGACGTAATGGGTTTGGGGTGGGCGTGTCCCCTCTATGGGTGAGTGTGTCCCCTCCCAGGATTGGCGTGTCCACTCCCAGGGTGGACGTGGCCTTTGTGGGCATGTCTTTTGCCTCCTCTCCCCCTCCCTGAACTGGGAGCTCAACTGGGACTTACTGGGGTTTGGGTGGGAGTGTCCCTTCCTACGGCGGATTAGTGGGACGGTGGAGACCTCCAGGCCTTAGGGTGCTAGCCCCATTACCTGCAAGGTGAATGCCCTTCCCCCCTGCTCCCCGCACGTGGCCCAGCGACCCGGCAAGGAGCCCACACAGACCACCAGGGAGGGAGGGACAAAAGAGGAAGTTCAAAGTGGGGAAGGGGTTTATAAAGCTTTTAGGAAGGTCAAAGGGAAACCAATCACAAGTTCAAGGGCACACAGAAAAAACCAATCAGGTAAGGGGTCAACAGCCGATAGGAAGGGGTTAACAAGGACCAATGAGTCACACCTCAGGACACCTTCCCAGGACACCTTGTATGAGAGACAAGTCCCTCACAGGTGGTGTCGGGAAGAGGGAGCAATGACACTGCAGAAAATACAAAAAGCCATTTTGAAACGTGTTTAAACCACATTAAAACCTTCTGTTTCTACAACATTTGAGCTGTTTTCTTCTTTATCTTCACTAATCTGTCTCCGACAGGACTTCTTCCATCCTGCGTATGGCAAATCCATTGCCACATCTCCTCCTCCTTTGTCTTCTAAAGTTGGATATGCTTTTAATGATTGAGAGGTTCTGGCACAACTGAGCAAACATGGAAAGACACACATAAAGAGAAACACTACGGAAAGTCCTAGTACGAGAACTACAATAATTTTCTTTATAGTGGAAGAGAGGCCTTTGAAGGGCAGCCAGTCGAAAAAATCATCAAAGGTCAGATGATCAACCTCCTTGATTTCATGAACTAAGGACTTAAGCTGATTAATCTGGGAGTGGATAGATTGGGAGTGATCAGAGAAGTTGAGACAGCAGAGGCCTTCAAACTCCTGACACCCATGGCCATTTACTAGAAGGAGAAAATCTATTGCAGCACGATTTTGTAACAAAGCTTTCTTATTGGTTTGGGTATCTTGTAAAAGATCATCAAGGGCAGCGCTGGTGGCATTAGCTTCTTTTGCAAGCCAGCATCCCATTCTGGTACGGAGTGTTAAGGCTTTTGTTGAGCTGACAATTGGAAGTATACCACTTAGAATGTTTGCGGTGTCGGACCAAAAATGCATGTTGGAATTGCATTCTGCTGTGAATTCACTCAAGGACTGTAATTTTTCTAAAGGATGTTCTTCAACTGGAGGTGGGGGTGCTGCAGCCACAGCGACCTGTGCTGCTTTAGGTGGAGAAGGTGGTTTTGGTTGTGATGGATAGAAGTTAAGAGGTGGGTGTAAACCTTGGAATTGCCTGCGCACTCTATGATGTGAGAAGGGTGAGGTTGTTTGGAGGTTAATGTTCCTTTTTGCCTGATTTTTGGGAGGACTTACAGGTAAAGATTTCATACGGGTAGCTGGATTGTACAGTGCTAATTTTCCAAATGTGCAGGGGTCTGCAGCAGCTAATCTAGGAATCATATTCCAGACTCTAAGTCCACAAATTAAAAAGACTCCTTTTGGAAGAATAACCGAATCAGGGGTAGCATGTATCTGGTAAGGAACCTCTTCCTTGCACCAGAAACTGAAGTTGGAATAAGGTCCATAAGAGGTGACAGTAATTATTTCAGGAGGGGCAACATATTTGTTGTGAATGAAGTAAAAACAGAGAGGAGATATAATACTCCCCAAGATTTCTAATTGCTCAGGTCTCTGCCACTGATAGCTAAATGTCTGTCTGTCATGTGAAGTTTTTGCTGGTCTTGTGAGACAATCTAAGAATGGATTTCTGAACTGACCATGGTCATCACACCAAGGGATATACTGATTCCTAAAATCGCCCCATTCTCTTGGCGTCCAGGGGATTCCTACCAGACAGATCTTAAAAGGGTGAGAGGGATCTAAGGTAGAGAGACAGAGAGAGTCAGTATTTAGTGATTGTGCCAGGTTTAGCCAAACATTTTGGCCAGAGAGCATTACCCAATTTGGAATTGTTGGAGGAGGTGTGGCAAGGGCTCCTGACATTAAGTCTGTCTGAGTTGCTGGTGTTATGCTGCACGCAAAAAGCAGGATTATCCCGAAAGTGATGCTGATGGAGGATCGCTTCCTGTAGTTGGTGCTGAATCCGTTGGTGCTGGATCTGCTGCTGGTTGAGCTGGGAGGGAAGCTTCTTGGTGGATCCTTACTAGTCTGGGCGGTATCCATCTTGGACCTGCTCCTGTGGAAACACAAGCATGTCCTCTCCCCCAAACAATTAAAGGGACAGGACCAAGCCATTCTCCTGTCAGGATATCCTTGTATTTTACCTTAGCTTCCCCCGTTTTTAATTTTCCAGCTCCAAAATGATGTCCAACAGGCGAAACATCTTCATGCAGCTTATTTAAAAAATTGAGGACATACAATGCCTTGTGTAAACATTCTGATGGAGAAAGACCTACAGCTGTTTTTTATTGTTCTTTTCAGCATATCTTTTAAAGATTTGTGAGTTCTCTCTACTATTGCTTGGCCCCGTGCAGAGTGAGGAATGCCTCAGTTTTCCCCATTTTTTTCACATTTTCACAGACTTCCCCCATTTTCCTGATTTTTTTTCCACATTTTTCCCACATTTTCCCAAATTTTTCCTTATTTCCCCCATTTTTTCCCAGATTTTTTCACGATTTCCCCCCATTTTTCCCACATTTTCCCCCATTTTTCCCAGATTGTCCCAGAATATTCCCCGTTTTTTCCCCATTTTCCGGGATTTTCCCCCCATTTTTTCCCTATTTTCCCAGATTTTTCCCATTTTCCCCCCATTTTTCCCCATTTTTTCCAGATTTTTCCTCGTTTTTTCCACATTTTCCCCAGATTTTCCATTTTCCCCAGAATTTCCCAGATTTTTTCCAGATTTTTCCCCGTTTTCCCTGGGTTTTTTACCGCTTTTTCCACATTTTCCCGGATTTTTTCCCTATTTCCCCCATTTCCCCTGATTTTTCCTGCATTTTCCCCACATTTTCCCAGATTTCCTCCCATTTTCCCCCATTTTCCCACATTTTTTCCCCCATTTTCCCACATTTTTCCCCATTTTCCCACATTTTCCATACATTTTTTCCACATTTTCCTGGATTTTTCCAATTTTTCTCCATTTTCCTGGATTTCCCCCCAACTTTTTCCCAGATTTTTCCCCCATTTTCCCCCATTTTTTCCACATTTTCCCAGAATTTTTTCCATTTTTTCCCCATTCCCCCCATTTTTCGCAGAATTTCCCGCATTTTAGCCCATTCCCCCCTTTTCCCAGATTTTTTCCCTTTTTCCCCATTTTTCGTGATTTTCCCCACATTTTCCCACATTTTCTCAGATTTTTCCTCCTTTTTCCCAGAATTTCCCCATTTTCCTGGAGTTTGCCCCATTTTCCTGGATTTTTCCCATTTTTCCACATTTTCCCAGATTTTTCTCCCGATTTTCCCAGATTTTCCCCACATTTTTCCCACATTTTTCCCCCTTTTTTCCCCATTTTTCCCCATATTCCCGCATTTTCCCCTCATTTTTCTCCATTTTCCCATATTTCCCCCCATTTCCCCCCCATTTTTTCCACATTTTCCCTCATTTTTTCCCTGATTTTCCCGGATTTCCTTATTTTTTCCCCATTTTCCTGGAGTTTTCCCAATATTTCCCCATTTTCCCGGATATTTTCCCTTTTTTCCCCTTTTATTCCCACTTTTCCAACAGCCTCTCCTGTGCCTGTATTTCCACCTGTTAATTCAGGGCATTCTGGCTTCCAGTGTCCCTCCTTTCTGCAATACGCACACTGGTTCTACACAGCCTTGTCTGTAGGGGAGGCAAACCTTACATCTGTTACACAAGGCTCATACATATAACTAGCAATTGCAAAACTGACAAATCTTAATTCTAGGTCTTATCCAAAGTGATGTGATTATAGTTAACTCTTCAGCACTACCTCTCATATAGCAACTCTTAGCATGATAATACCTTTAACTATGTGCTCCTGGTTGTTTCAAGGTAAGCAAGATATATCAGGTACACAATAACAATACTTGGCCAAATACAAACAAGACTAGACCAGACCAGAGGGGATATTCCCCTGGGAGAGCGTCCTCTCCCGTGTCCCCTGCGAGACGGCGTCCCGCCTCGACTTACAGGTATCCAGAAACCAGATACAAATACCTTTTATCAATAGGCAGTGTTCTTGTCCAGCCCCCGCAAGAAGCCACCGAAGAAGGGAGCCCCTTCGGGTAAAAAGACTTACCCGAGGGCGCCCAAGGGGGTCCCGTCCTCCGGGGGATTCCGCAGCCGGGTGGAGAAGGTGTGCTGCCGCAGGTCGCCAAATGAATCCGAAAAATCGGTCTGACAAACTGCTCAGAGACTTTTCATCTTTAAGCAGCAAGGTATTTGTTTATTCAACGTTGGGAGCAAGCCAGCTCGCGCTGGACAAACTTGCTCACCGGCTCCTCAGAAAACCAGCACTTTTATCCAATTTTCAGATGTGATTAAACGCATATTCAAACGATTACAACATCTATCAATACATATTAAAAATAGGCGGAGTATAGGCGGAGCTCAGGGCGGTGCTTCTCTTGACACCCCGTTTCGAGGGGTAGTTCCGATCTTCATCCATAGGGCAGGGGGCTCTAACTCATCTTCCTCATCTTGACCCTTCTTCCTTTCCATTGTTCTTGACCCGCTCACTGAAGCTTGGAAAAGGCCCTGGCTCCAGGCCTATTTCTCCTATTCAAATGTCTACCTGATCCTGTTATACTTCTAATTTATTGCTTCTAAGTCTATTACATGTTCTTGTACTATTCTCTTAAGCTTTTGGTCCAGTAAGTAGAACAGAACGGGGACAGATCGTTTTGAATATTGGTAACTTGTTTGCAGGCCCAAATCAACTTGTTTGCAGGCCCAAATCTCTTAGTTAACTCTTTGGGCCTAGCCCCCTATATCATCAGCACTCCATGCGAATGTCTGTGCACTCACTTTGGCCTGAGAGAAACCTGCCTGTTTGCAGGGCACTGACTGGGCAACTTTTCTTTTTGCAGGTGGAAAAGGGCAGATAACCAAAACACAGATGGGTCCAGCAGAAGGGATGCTGCTTCTGTCAAAAGCAGAGCAGAGGCCGAAAGCACTTTAGGAAGTTGCTTGCAGAAGCACTGTGCATTCCAAGTTACAGCTCAGGAGTCTCAGTGACTTGTCCAACATGAGAGCTCCTTTTCCGTTTCTCAACCCCCAGATTCCTCAGGAGTAGGAAATTCAAAACACTGTCTCAGAAAAGCTCCTTTCCTTCCTAATAATTGTGCTTTGCCCTTCCCATTTTACAGTGCTCTTGGAAATGTGCTGGTGCGATCTGGATCTGCGAGCAGCCCTGACCTCACACAGCACTCATGCAATGGCAGGAAGACCCTGCCTGGCTCCTGCTGGGGTTCTCGCCACCACCGCCCCAGTATGGGTCACTGGAATGGGGAGCTGGGCAGTGGGACCAGTAAGGACCACTTAAGGGGGTTGGGGGCACTTCAGTATCTCCATCAAGGTCAGACCAGTATAGACCATTATAAACCAATATAGACCAGTACAGACCAGTATAAACCAGGATAGACCAGTATAAACCAGTATGGACCAGTATAGACCAGTATGGGCCAGTATAAAGCAGTAGAAACCAGTACAGGTCACTGGAATGGGGAACGGGATGGTGGGACCAGTACGGACCAGTTAAGAGGGTTGGGGGCACTTCAGCATCTCCGTCAAGGTCAGAACAGTACAGACCAGTACGGACCAGTACAGACTGGTATAGACCAGTAGAAACCAGTACGGGTCATTGGAATGGGGAATGGGGCAGTGGGACTAGTAAGGACCAGTTAAGGGGGTTGGGGGCACTTCAGCATCTCCGTCAAGGTCAGACCAGTACAGACCAGGATAGACCAGTATAAACCAGTATAGACCAGTATAGACTAGTATGGACCAGTATGGACCAGTATAAACCGGTATGGACCAGTACAGACCAGTAGAAAGCAATATGGACAGGTATGGTCCAGTACAGGCCAGTATGGGTTTTTGGAATTGGGAATGGGGTGGTGGGACCAGTAAGGACCAGTTAAGCGGGTTGGGGACACCTCCATCAAGGTCATACTAGTATATACCAGTATAAACTAGTGTAGACCAGTATGGACTGGTATGGGCCAGTATAGATCAGTATAAACCAGTACAGACCAGTACGGGTCGTTGGAATGGGGCGGTGGGACCAGTAAGGACCAGTTAAGGGGGTTGGGGACACTTCATCATCTCCGTCAAGGTCAGACCAGTACAGACCAGGATAGACCAGTATAAACCAGGATAGACCAGTATAAACCAGTATAAACCAGTGCGGGTCACTGCAACGCGGAATGGGGTGGTGGGACCAGTAAGGACCAGTTAAGGCAGAACTCAGATGGGACGTAATGGGTTTGGGGTGGGCGTGTCCCCTCTATGGGTGAGTGTGTCCCCTCCCAGGATTGGCGTGTCCACTCCCAGGGTGGACGTGGCCTTTGTGGGCATGTCTTTTGCCTCCTCTCCCCCTCCCTGAACTGGGAGCTCAACTGGGACTTACTGGGGTTTGGGTGGGAGTGTCCCTTCCTACGGCGGATTAGTGGGACGGTGGAGACCTCCAGGCCTTAGGGTGCTAGCCCCATTACCTGCAAGGTGAATGCCCTTCCCCCCTGCTCCCCGCACGTGGCCCAGCGACCCGGCAAGGAGCCCACACAGACCACCAGGGAGGGAGGGACAAAAGAGGAAGTTCAAAGTGGGGAAGGGGTTTATAAAGCTTTTAGGAAGGTCAAAGGGAAACCAATCACAAGTTCAAGGGCACACAGAAAAAACCAATCAGGTAAGGGGTCAACAGCCGATAGGAAGGGGTTAACAAGGACCAATGAGTCACACCTCAGGACACCTTCCCAGGACACCTTGTATGAGAGACAAGTCCCTCACAGGTGGTGTCGGGAAGAGGGAGCAATGACACTGCAGAAAATACAAAAAGCCATTTTGAAACGTGTTTAAACCACATTAAAAACTTCTGTTTCTACAACATTTGAGCTGTTTTCTTCTTTATCTTCACTAATCTGTCTCCGACAGGACTTCTTCCATCCTGCGTATGGCAAATCCATTGCCACATCTCCTCCTCCTTTGTCTTCTAAAGTTGGATATGCTTTTAATGATTGAGAGGTTCTGGCACAACTGAGCAAACATGGAAAGACACACATAAAGAGAAACACTACGGAAAGTCCTAGTACGAGAACTACAATAATTTTCTTTATAGTGGAAGAGAGGCCTTTGAAGGGCAGCCAGTCGAAAAAATCATCAAAGGTCAGATGATCAACCTCCTTGATTTCATGAACTAAGGACTTAAGCTGATTAATCTGGGAGTGGATAGATTGGGAGTGATCAGAGAAGTTGAGACAGCAGAGGCCTTCAAACTCCTGACACCCATGGCCATTTACTAGAAGGAGAAAATCTATTGCAGCACGATTTTGTAACAAAGCTTTCTTATTGGTTTGGGTATCTTGTAAAAGATCATCAAGGGCAGCGCTGGTGGCATTAGCTTCTTTTGCAAGCCAGCATCCCATTCTGGTACG